AGAAGTTAAGAGAGAGTAAAATGCCAGGTATGTTGGTCACAACTTTACCTCAGCCCTGAGGAGGGAAGATCATGAAGTAGGGGTCTTTCTTGATACACGGGGAGTTCAAGCTAACCCCGGGACACATAACAAGACCTTATTTCAGAAGTCCCAAAAGTAAGGGGCTAAGGAGATAGTAAAGCAGTCAGGAAACTACTTGATGTCCAAGTGCGAGAACCCTAGTTGGGATCCTCAGCCTACACATGAGATCCAGGAGCAGAAACTCTGGGAAAGAAAGGACAGGTAGATGTGTTGGGCTTGGTGTCCAGCTAATCTAGCTAACCAGTTTCAGTTTCAGGGTCAGTGAGATGTTCTGCCTTCAAATCCTAAGGCGGAGAACAATAGAGGAAGATGCTGAACATTGACACCTCACATACATAAAGGCACAAAGACACACATGCACACACACACACACACACACACACACACACACACACACACACACACCAAAGGAAAAAAAGGCAAAAGATAGAAACTTTATATCTATTCCAAATCATAGCAGGATCCTTAGTCAACCATAATAATATTTTCTAACCAAATCATATGGAACTATCACTACGAATTACAAGGTATGTTTTACATTGGCTAGAAGAAAAGCAATGTGTTCCCTATATTGTTTGTTTTTATATGGGGGGGTCACATGGGCTTGTTGTTGTGTTGTGTTTGCTTTTCAAGCTCTTACTCTGCACCCAAGGCTGGCCTGAATATCTGATTGTCCTGTTTGGCCCCCAGCACTGTTTACAGACCTGCTTTCAAATAAGCTTTTCAGAATTATTTCCAAAGTGTTTCATGATTCTACGCTAAAAGGAATAATTTTTAGCTAAATTTTGACATGTTTATATGTGAGCAGAAGAAACATGGACAATGTTTTCACAACGTTGTCGTTAGTTTACATTTCAATATTGTTAGCAATAGCTAGACAAAGCTGCAGTAAAAACAGTGAATGATAACTCCCTATCAAGTTGTTTTCAATTAGGTTACCTTACGGTCCAGAGTAGAATGCCTCTATTTGCCTAATTCTTTTCATACATGACCACCGTCATCATCACAACTTGGCCATGAGTTAGTTATCAGGAGACCTGCAGGTGTCAGTTGTGATAAAATTGGACTTCTACCAAAAGTACAATTTTAAAAGAAAAATGCATGTCAATTTTTATCATTGGTGTCAAATAGTTGCTTTCAAAAGTACCATTGACTTAGATTTCAGAAAGTGAGATTATTCTTTTGCTTTATTTGGGTCTTCTGTGTACCAACAGCTGTTTTGTTTTTGTTTTGTCTTTTGGTGTTGAGAAGATAGTCAAGCATTTAGGTGTATCTGTCCCCATTGGCGTCAGCAGAAGGGCGCCACCTGGTGGAATAAGTACAAATTCAAAACCTTGCCTTGCTGTTAAGCGATCTAGACCTAGAGACCAGAGATGAGCAATAGAAACTTTCTAAAAGCTTCTTAATGTATTTATGATGGCTTATTCTATATGTTTCACAGTATCTAGCTTATCTAAGGAAAGCCTAGTTAGCGTTAACATCCCAAAAGGCAGCATTTACATATGTGCCTGATGCTTTAAAGAGATCTACATCAATTAACCTTTCTGTGCACATATGTGCAAAGCAAAGCTTGTAATCATCTTGCCTACTTCTCATAAAAGTGTGTTGCTGTGCTTGTGTAGTTAGGAGCTGGGACTTCTGATTTAAATGAGCCGAGTTTGTCACTTCACCAATTCTGGATACAAATTGGCTTAAGTGCCTTAACTTTTTCGAGGGGACATTATATGTCAGCCCTAAAGTGGAAATAGCAACAGACGGGACCTCAGCATGCTGCTTTGAGAGTCTAATAGGAATCTGCATCTGATAAATATCTCCTGGTCAATCGAAGCACATCAGAGCACACACAGCAACTGCTTCTGAAGCGCTTGTTCTCAGATCACTGTGAGCTACAATTGGCCACCGGAGATCTTTCGATACATCAATAAAAAGTGAGGATCTGATCATGTGAAGTGGGAATGATGATGTCTTTCCATGAGGAAGTACTTATTTTTGAACATTCTATAAATGTAGAGTATTATGTAAACAAAATAGCTACTGTAAATGTTGTTATCAATCTTTAAAAAATAGATGAATCAACAGTTATTTAAAAAGAGACATGATTAAAATGATAAATATATTAGCCATAATTCCAGGTATTAAAAATGTGTTCAGACCCTGATTCTTTCTTGGAATAAGTTCCTCAGGGCTTCTGTGACAGAGGACAGCAGGTGACAAGAGATAGCAGAAAGGTCAAGCCCTTTACAGGTTCTGATAGCAGCCAGATTCCATGACCCCAGCCACTGCCGTTCCCTGGAAAGAATGTTCTTGCCAGTTCTAAATAAACATAGGAGTCAGATGCCACAGGACAAGGCATCTTTGAAGCTCATGAAAATCTCTATCACAGAAAGTGAAAGACCTTTTGGACAACATTCAACAATCTAAATCATTCAGAATCAATTCACAGTGAGTGAGTGGCTGGAATGTGCCTCCTCTTTAGCCACTCAGAAGACTTTTGTAAAGGCCCACTTCAAGTTAAATTTACAAATTTTTATTTTGAAGTATCATAGCAGCCAGCACAATTAATCTAGCATATCTAATATTGTACGGAAGTTGTCTGACAATTGAAATTCAAGGCATAGTGACTGAAGCTGCTCAATTCTTTGTGGGCTTCAGACTCTAACTTAAGTATTCACAGCGATCACCCACATTATATGGCCATCATTTCAGATATTACTCTTTAGACAAAAGAAATGCTAGCTATAGGGATTCCCCAGGAGTTTGTGAAAGTCTCCCATGAGGCTCCTGTAACAGTTATATCAATCTGACTTTGCATTTACAAAATCAGCCTCCTCTAATGCACTTATAGAATGCATGCCATTGACACTTAGGAACCATGTGCAGCCACAAAATGTCTTAAAAGCAGCCAATTAGAGCGAGAGATCTGTAGATGGCCACTCTCTGAACATCTGGAACAGCTACTACAAATATACATGCTGAGAAATAAATGGAATCAAGTTTGAAGTTCTTTCCCCACATGAATGTCAAGTGTCATATTAATCTAACAAAGGGATTTACCATGCATATATACAATGTGCTTCTGTATATCTGCCTTGCCTCTTGCAACCCACCCCCGCCCTTACAGAAGCAGTCTGCAGCACCTCGAGTTACCAGCTGGTGTCACAGGTTAGTGAGCAAAAATTTCATGTGGGGACCCTCTTGACTAATCATTCTTCTCAGTCGCATCATTCCAGGAGCAGTCAAAAGTCCAAGGTTTGTTGGTGAAATTTAAGGACGTCAGCCTGAAAGGGGAATGTCACATCTGTTCTCCTCTCGTAAAATATTTTTTTAACAAGCCTAATAACCGGTCTCTACATGGTGATGTGTGCTGATGGGGGAGGGGATCAGAGGAGAGGTCTAAGAGGGGAGCATTACGGAGGAAAGCTTTAATCTTTGCATTCTCATCTAAGGGCAAAGGTGCTGGACAGTTGAAGGCAAACAACAACAACAACAAAAACCCCACCTCATAAATCTGCAACATTACTCTGTAAACAGAGAGAGAAAGGTCTGTAAACCTCTGAAAAATCTCCACCACCTGTGTGAAACACATGTATGGGAAATGGAAAGGGGAAAGATAGGAAAGAAGCCATAAGCCAGGAGAGATGACCAGGACTAGAATATTAGCGACAGCATCCCTGGTATCCCTTCCTGTGCCTCAGCATCTCCTGAGCAATTTGGACAGTTCCTCCAAGGCGGATTCAGAGGACTAAGAACTGAATAGCTGGAGTCTAGTTGCCTTACTCTGTCCCAGGCCCGGTTACCCCCCACTTCTAACCATGAGCTGTGAGTGTCTCTGAGGTGAACGAACGCCTCTAGCAGCCTTCGACTGAAAATGCACTCTTGGGGCAAAGAGCTCTTGGTGCTCCACCTCCTGCATATCTGTGCGGAGCTCCTCCAGCTCAATCACTTTGTGCTGACCAAGTACCGGCTCTCTTATTCCAGTTGGAATTGATGTAAACGTGACCGCGTCTATAGCAAGCTCTTCACAGCTTCCTTCCTCCTCGATGGGGCATCGTCATGCTCCTGAACCCTCCAACTTTAGGAAAAAGCGTGACCCAACTCTCAAATCTCCCCAAAACCAGACACAGAGGAGACAGACATTTCTCCATAACATTAGGCTACAGATGTTCTAAAGACCCAAACAACAATAACCAAAAATGGGGTGACAGGTACCGAAGGACGCAAAAGGGACAGGATCAGCTAAAACAGGGCCCCTTAGCTCTGCAGACGCGACACATCTAGACCCAACAAATCAGCAAAATCAGTGTCTTTCTTGCCCCCCTCAATGATAAATGCCGTTCTACTCCCCCATGTTCAGTTCTACTGGGCAGACTAGTAACGCCGAGTCCTTCCTCTTCTCCCACCTAGCTTTTCCATCTTGGTCTTCTCAAAAGAAAATAGAAGGGAAACTCTGGTAGCTTAAAGGTCGTTTGCCTACTTCAGTATATCTGGCTAGCGCGCGTCCGAGCCACAGTGAGACAGGGCTGGACCTGTGCAAGAGACTGTCTCCAGGATCGCGCTAGAACCATCCAAAACGCGTTCATGAGAAGTCAAGCCTCCTCACGGCTAAGACCAGATCATCTCTCCCTCCCACGACGACTCCCCCCACCCCTGAGGATCCCTGGGGGCATCTCGAGCATTTACCTCTCTGCCCCCTTCCCCGCGGCTCTCCACCTTGCGCATCCCGTCGCCCAGCCCCAGAGCGCACTAGGACGCTCTAAGTTCCTGCTGGGTCCATGAATGAGGCGAACAGAGCCTGAGAGTGGGGTGGGAGGTGGGGGTATGAGAAGAGGCAAGCGTGGGAGCCGATTGAGGGACAAGGAGGAATGGCTAAGTGGAGCAACCCCTCCTGGGAGGGATAGTCCCTAGAGGCCAACTCTCACCTGGTCAGCCGGCTGAGCCTGGCTTGCCCTGGCCCCTGGAGTGGGTTGCTGCTCCTGCTTCATGGCTGTCATCCCCTGGCCGCCCGCGTCGGAGCTCGCACTTCCTCGCGGGCACTTCGCACTCGGGGACCGTCACTTGGCAAGCGAACGCATGTCACAGACGCCCCGTCGCTCTCGGAATTGTCGGAAGAGAAGAGCGGCAGCAGCGATGGGGTGGGGGAAGGGAGCGCCAGGGAGGGGACTGAGAGCGGCAGCAGAGCCAAGCAGGCTCCCCTCTTTTGCAGGATCCCTCTTTTTGGCTACCGCAGATCCTCGGGCTCCCCACTGTCCCCGCCCCCCACCACCACCCGAAAATGCAGACACCAGACGCGACCAAGTGGCAAGTTAGTGGAGCGGCGGGCGGCTGGCTACCAGCACCTGATCGCGCCGGAGCGGTGGTTTGCAACGGCGGAGGAGCCAGGCTTTCATTCTACCGCAGTCCGCCACCCGCGCACCCGCACCGCCGCCGGCCCTCGGGGGCTCCCTGCGCGGTGCTCAGTGCGTCAGGTGCAGAAGCAGCAGCAGCAGTAGCAGCAGCAGCAGCAGCAGCCAGGCTCTGCGCTCTAGCATCTCCCGAGCAACTGTAAAGCGCGCGGGAGAGACAGCCCCGCACAAGCTCCACACTCGTGTAGCCCAGGCCGCCGGGTTCTGCGGGCTCCCCCTGTCCTCCACCCCCCCCCCCCGGGCGGGCTCCCGATAAAACCCGGAGAAGCGGAGTGTGAGCTTGTGCAAAAACCCTCCGTGGCTCCAGAGCGGCCACTAGGCATGCTCCAGCACTTTGAGAAAGCAGGGGTAGCGGGAGATCCCCGCCTGGAGCCCCAATGGGCGTGTGCAACACCTGTCTGCACTGGAGACATTTGTCCCACATGGTGACCTGCCGCTGTGTGACTGCTGACTAAAAGCAATAGAAAGGCTTTAACCTCCAGCCTGGATTCCCCAGATGGCTGCCTGGGTAACGCAATGGAATCCCTAAAGGTTTGTGAAAAATGACATTAACCACACATGATTCTTCTCTCCACATCTTTTCCCCCCCGGATTCATTTAAAAAAATCTCTTCACATTTTAAGCCCTTCCTAGTCATACCAGCCATTCCCATTACAAATACGTTTCGCTGAGTCTACCTTGAGCCAAACATAATATGGGGGGGGGGCGGGGGGAGCAACAAGGAAGACATTAAGGTGGCAGTCCTCTCCATTTGCCCTCCGCCTCTGCGCAGGAGCTTAAGCTACTGCGTGAAGACTGGGACCCGGAGCAGCGATACAAATCAGAAAGTCAGCCTAGTTTGGAAGTGGAGCACTTTAGGCTATAATTATCAAAGGTCACTAATTTCACCCACGTGTACCTGCAGGTGGCTCTGTCCGAGGTGCTCAGAGGAATATGCTTTTGGTAAATGGAACACAAGCAGTGCCCTAGTATTTCTGGGTCCACTGAGGATTGCTCCTCAGTGGGAAGGAAAGAGAGAGGCAAATACACAGGCGTTGGCTCTCCTTCCACCGGGTGAGTTCTGGGGACTGAACCCTGGTGATCACGGTTTGCAGCCAGCATAGTCCAGCAGAACAGAGCCTGAGACCATGAAGGGTGATGTAGCACAGCTGTGAGGGGGTGTCTTTAACTTCGGGCTGACTCCCCTCCTGTACCTGTTATTCAGACCATCAAGTCTCCTCTTGTCAGCTGCCGGTCTTGTTACTTGTGTTTCTACAAAAATTATTTTTACCCCCAAGCAGTCATAATAACGAATCAGCTGACGAGAAGCCTTTACTTTTTGAACATCTGTGATCCCCGGCTCCTTGTGAATGTTTTATTTGTTCTGTTCCAGTAGATATAACTTTTTGATGGGAATAATTTTACTTGTTGTAAAAGTATAAAGCATATATAAAGGTGAAATACAAGAAAATCTGCCATAAATCTGGCAACCCAGGTATTTTTCCCCTCCTGTATCATTTGAGTGGTTGGGGAGAGAGCATGCATTATTCAGAAAGTGCTCCCATCTTTACATTCCGTTTCTCTCTTCATTACTGGAGTGTATGGGTTATCTCAAGCGTTTCCATTTTGGACAATTTGCTCACCGTGAGGGAACTTACTTTATGACAGATTTCTTTCACACAGGCAAGTACACGGCAGGAATAGCGGCCTCCTTTTAGGATCACTTACTGGATTGAAGTCCGTGGCTAGCCTCGCATCCATTCTCGGTATTCACCATAATTTACTTTGCTTACAAAACAACACGCAAATTGTTACATGCTTCGCTAACTGTGGTGCCTAGGAGAGAATCTTATTTTTAAGAATAGCTTCATTGTGTCTTTTGTGGTCAATTCCTATAGCTTAAACTTTGGAAAGTTAATCATATGTAAATTGATTTCCTCAAGGCAAACATTCTCTGTCTCTCTCCCTCTCCTTCTCCCTCTCCCTGAAATTTGAGAGAATAAGACATTTGAATTCCAATGGTAGCTAATCTAGTCCCAACTTAATTTCTTACTGAAAGGAAAGATAAACTGTTCAAAAAAATAAAAAATAAAAAGAAGACTTTGTCATCTAAGAAACCTTTGCCATTCTTGTCAGTGTGGTTTTTGATTACAGTGTCATTAAAGACAAAGCAACAAACACTAATTCATAATCCAATATCCATAAACACATCCAAGACAAATAGCACTTGTGCTTGTACCCAGCTAGACTTAAGCAGGCAGCTTGTGCTCCTCTTGCATCATTGATGAGCTAAGAGCAAGGGGAAGTCAGTGGCAGGCTACTTCTGCTTTCTTACCTCATAAAAATAAATTTTTCACACTGTACCATTATTCAGATCCCCTCTATCTCTAAAACTTCATGGTTTTATATGTTAATTTTTGTAAATTAGAAAAATATCTTCTGGGTGATAAATTATTTACTGTTTAAAACAGTGAGGAAAATATAATTAAATTGTGTATGTAGATGTATATATATAGCAATTAATTAAATATTAACTAAAAAAGAGATCATGAATTTTGGAGGGAGGTGGACATGAGAGGAACTGGAGGGAGGAAGAAGGGGTGGTGGTGATGTACATTCAGTATTCATGTATGAAATTCTCAAAATATTAAAATGTAAATTAAGAAAAGATGAATTAACTCACAAAAGAGCCCTGCCTATAAATTTCCAGTAGATTTTTATTACACTTAGTTGTATGATAATTACATTGTTTTATTAATATCTTTAGAGCACATAAAAATAAAATTAAAATTTAATTGACAAAGCAGTATTGAAAATAAAAAGCTTTATAATGAGGTTAGGAATGATTAGCAAGTATATTCCACACAAGCTTAAGGACCTGAGTTCAGATCCCATGCCCTCAATAGAAAGTCCCCTGTGGAACTCTGTGCCTGTAATCCCAGTGCTGGGGAAGCAGTAGAAGGAGGATTCCTGTGGCTTTCTGGCAGCTGTTCTTGCTGAATCAGCAAGCTCCCAGTGCAGGGAGAAACAGTGTCTCAAATAAGAAGACAGCAAACAACAGGTAAATACAATAGATAGGAACCTCTGCCTCCTCAAATATGTCCACGGACTTCCTGCACACTTTACACACAGACAAACACACAGGAACCCATTTGCACACACATACACCAGGGTATACAGAACATAACTAAAGAAAACTATAATGCAAGTTTTCGGAGTACCTCTGGATATTCTTTCTTATTTTGTTTCTTGGAAAAGCTAACTCATGGACTGGACACTTTAACACTTTGAGTAGGTAATGAGAGTTTTTGCTGTTGCAGTGGTGGGGAGTCCTGCTTTCACCACTTAGAAACAATGGGTGAGGCCACCTTAACACACTCCTGCTAAGGGTTGCAATAGACAGTTGACCCTTCATTCAGAAAAATCTACCAAATTTGTCTCCACCATTGCACCATGAAAACTGAATGACTTCTAATTCCAGTTTCAGATCTCCATAAAGAAAACTTTGCAAAGCTGCCTTCCCCATATACTTAGTGGGGATCCTAGAGACACCCCAAAACCTTCCCAGGTACAGAAATGCAGACATCTATATTTTGTACCTGAAGCTGTCACCCAGTGCCTCGGGGGTGAGATTCATACCCTGTGTCTCCTTTCCCCTTAGAATATGAAGTTGAATCATTGAGGACAGGTCATGAAAGTAGATAATGAATGAATGAATGAATGGCTCAAGATATCATTAAAATATTTCAGCATCAGTAGCAAAGATAAATTGTTCCAGAAATAGGCAAGTCTTATCTGTTCTCATCTTCTATTTCAAAGTAAAGGCACAGGGACAAAGAAGCAAAATTTACTCTCTACCAACAACCAAGTAATAAATAAGGGCCAGTTAAACTCTGATATGTCAGAGAAAGACGAAAATGCCTCGAGATTTTACAGAACAGAGTAGAGACACACTCTTCAAATTCAGATAAGCTGGATAAAAACAAATGTGACCCTGAAAAGCGTCTACTTGCATAGCAGATCCCTTTCTTGTCTCTCTTTTTTTCTGAAGTAAATCTGCTTTGTCACAAACAACCTACCTTCACAGGGCTTTCCCCAGCAGGGGCTGGTCCCCCATTGAGTGTCTGTAAGAGCAGAGCATCAGGGAGACCAGGACTCAGGAGCTAAGCTTCAGAGATCCGGCTGGAAATGGGTCCAATTAGCTCATTGCACATGAAGACACAACTTTAGTTCATACTGCTTGGTATCATTTGGTTTCGATTTATAAATTACCTCTCCTCGCCTCCACCAGCTTCTCAAGTTCCCCCACAGTGCCAGAGAGCTTCTCCTGTCCTTGGGCAAAAAAAACCTGAACAGTGAGCAACATTCAGAAAAGAGCTGTGTATTTCAGAAACTTTAGCAAGTAAACTATAATAGATGTTTGTTTTAAAAGAAAGGAAAAAAAAGGATGAAGAGAGGAAAACAGAGACATTGCCTATTTAGGTGATATTTATGCTGGCGACACAGCCTGTTTGGGGCTTCTTTTGCTGCTAACTAAACTTTCTGTCGCTCCCTGCCTACAACAGGAAGACTCTCCTGTTATAAAAATTCATAGCCCAATTATGATCTCT